GCAACGATCCTCCTGCCTCAGCCTCCTGAGTGCTGGGATACAGGCATGCGCCGCCACACCCGGCTTACCAGTTAGCTTTTATTTGGTCCAAGAATGGCCGATGTGATCTAAAGACACCAAGATGTAGGACACTTTATATTAGTTCTGAGTAAACAAAAAACTGCTTTTCTGTAGTTTTTTGATAATTTCTAAGTGGTCTGTTCCACTGCGGCTTTTCTAGGTTGTTAGGTAGAGCAGGAGCCACTATGTTGTTATGCTTAGGTTATTTTATTAGCTCGGTCATTTTCTTATTGGTCCTTTCCTCTGTCCATTCAGCTGCAGTGGAATCATTCCAAATCCTTCTAGGGTTCCCTTTAATCCTTTATCTGATAGCTATCCTTCTATTTTTCCAGCCTCCCACAAGGATACTTGACATTGTCCAAGGTGTTTTGTGTATTGCTTTACAGAGTTTGATCACCCCCATTCCATGTGCCCTTTGGTAGTGCCAGGAATTTTCCCACACAAAGCAACCAATCAGTCTTCTTGTTAGGAGGAAACATTCCTAAGGGCTATTACATAAGGGAAGACTTTGGGACTGGATTTAGGGCAATTCCCTAGTCTTACTCTTCCCTCTGTGGATGTTCTGGGAAAGTGTCTGTCTCTGGCCTGAACTGAGATCTTATCACAACTCTCAGCATCATCATGATGTTCAGCGGCTTCTTCCTTCTGAAGGCTCTTCTTGCTCTTGGGCCTCTGGCATGCTGCGTGACTGCAGCTGAGCATGGTGAGCTATCACTTGGGAAACCTTGCGAACGCTAATAGAGAGTGTCTGGGGAAAAGTCATCTCCTGCCTCCTCTCAGAGTGAGCTTCCTCATTTGTGGAGGTGATCATCTCTGTAGGACAGGACTGGTTGAGCAGATTCAGAGGACAGCCAGGGTAAGTCTTCTTGGCTTTCTTTACCCTCTTTGGATAAGGACATGGGACTTAGTAGAGGTTCCAGCTATTCTCTGGAGAAAGAGCTCATGAAATGAGAACAGGATCATTCCAGTCTTCCTCTCTATATCTGCAGCCTGGCTGGTTCTTTAGTAATGGGGGATGGCTGTTAGTAGTTGTACTGTAGGAGGAGAAGGTAATTGCAATGATATTTTGCAGTATGAATGTTTGCAAATGCTTGAAGTATGTTTGACCTCTGTTTCCCATTTCTCAAGGCCTAGACAGTTATCCTAACCTCCTGTAGTATCTTTTGCAGTGAAAGAAGGAGAATGTCCTTTTGATAAGAACCCATGCAAAGAGCTATGCCAGGGTGACGAGTCATGCCCAGCTGGGCAGAAGTGCTGCAGCACAGGCTGTGGTCGGGTCTGCCGAGGAGACATTCCTAAGGGTATGTTGGTCTTGTGCTCTCTGGCCTTGCCTCTGGGATGGATAGAACCAGAGAGGTCATCCTACCTCCTAAATTGGCTCTTGAAATCTAGCTTCCCTAGAGTTACTCTTCACTTTTGGGGCCTCAGTTCCCTGGCAGCACCCTTCGTTCTTTGCCTGCTGTAAGGAAGGAGTGTACCAGTGATTACTGTGTATTTTACTTTGGAGTCAGAGTTTCTGTGAGTCCAAAGGAGTGCAGAATTGTAAAGAAAAGCCTGTGATTAAGAGCATTGACCGTAGGATCAGGCAAACCTTCTTAAGCCTTAAACCTCAAACAGCTCTGTAATCCCAGCACTCGGGAGGCTGAGGCAGGAGGATCCTTGTGAGTTTGAGACCAGCCTGGGCTACAAAGTGAGCTCAAGGCCAGCCTGAACTGCATAGCGAGACCCTGTCTCAAAAAGACAAAAAAGGGGCTGGGGATTTAGCTCAGCGGCACAGCGCCTGCCTGGCAAGCACAACGTCGTGAGTTTGATTCCTGGTACTGGAAGAAAAACTGAAACAAAAACAAACAATCAAAAAGACAAAAAAAAAAAATGTTAAAGGTTTTCTTTCCTTTTTTTTCTTTCCTTTCTTTTTCTTTTTTATGTGGTGCTGGGGATCTGATCAAGGCCTTGTACATACAAAGCACATGCTGTACACTGAACTATACCTCAGCCAGATCTTAAGCTTTTAGCCCCATTTTTCTTATTTGTAAAAGAGGGATTATTTGAGATCACATGAGATGTTTCTGGCAAAAGGTACGTAAATGCTATAGTAAGCATTATTATTGCTGTTGTTACAGTCTGCTTTAGCACCAGGGATGAGAGGCTTCAGTGAAGCCTGGGGCTTCCTTCCTCTGATTTTCTTTTCTGCTGTGCCTCTGAGCCTCTCCAGGCACCATTATCTCCTATCTATTGCTGTCTTTGTGAGTTTTTTTTTGGACTGGGAATCAAACTTATGACCTTGCATTTCCAGTCAGGCTCTGTGCTGCTGAGCTATATCCCTGGCTTTCTATCTCCGTTTCTGTTACAGGGAGGAAAGGAGATTGTCCCAGGGTTGTCCAGAAACAGTCCTGTTTCAAAAGGTGCACCAGTGACGAGTCATGCCCAGGTGTAAAGAAGTGCTGCACGTTTGGCTGCAAGAAGCGCTGTGTGGTTCCAGTCGCTCATCAGAAGCTGGGTGAGAAACTTCCCTGCTTTGTGGTCCCCCTGAGAGTCCCTAAAAGGTGTTGATGTATCTTCTATATCCAGACCCTTCTTAGTTTCCTGTTGTTTTAGAATTTTTGTGGTCTCCAAACCCCGTGGTCTGCTTCTTCCTTTCTCAAATATACACATATCATCTTGTTGATTTTACTTTACTTTGGGAAACAATAATCAAGGGCCTGCTATAGTCTGAGAATGTAAAATAAAGGGTACCCAAGCCATGACTATTTGTGGGACATGGCTTAGTCAGGCAGGGGAAGATGCCAGAAAGGCAATGTCAGCATATCTTTGTACACAGATTTGAAAGCTGTTGGGTAATTTCCACTTTCAGTTGTCACTTGTGATATCCTCTCTTAAAATCCCAAGAATCTGCAAAGAAATAGCAAACCAGAATCTTGATGTCTCCGGAGGACAGCACACATTTGCCCACCCACTGCTTCTTGTGTGCTCTGTACACACAGGGGATGACCATCTCCTGCTGGAAATAGATCCTGTTTTATTCTGGTTCTGGTAGAGAGGTATTTGAAAGAGAATCCTCCTCTCTCTTACAGGGTCTTCATGATCTAACTCTCTATTTATGCACTCATTCTTTTGACAAGTATGTGTCGGATATTTACTGTTTGCTAGGCTCAGCATGGGTTCTGGGTGTATTGTGGTGAAGAAAATAGTTTCTGTCCTCGGTTTTATAGTCCAAGGGGTGGTTAAAAAAGAAGCATATAATTCATCAATACATTTCAAATTGTGATAGGGATAACAGGAAAATGAGACAGAGTAATGAGAGCTCACTTCAGATTAGGTGGTAGAGGAAAACATGTCTGAGGTAGTAACCCAGCGGAGGAGTTGAAGTTAGCCAGGGGAAGGGTATGAGGGATATCACAGGAAGAGAGAAACACATGAAGAAGTCTTCAGGTGACGAGGAGCTTGCTGTGTTTGGGAAACAGAAAGCTAGAGTAGAGGCAGAGAAGGGGAGTGATTCTAGCTGAAGATGCATACCGTTGACAACTCGGAGGTGACAGTGGCGGTGGAGAAAGGTGACTTAGTCGAGAGAATTTTGAGTTTAAAGCTATAGTATTCTGCTGTATGCCTTGCCTGCTTTGTGATCTCCCTGAGAGCCCCTAAAAAGTGTTGATGTATCTTCTATATCCAGACCCTTAGTTTCCTGTTGTTTTAGAATTTTTGTGGCTATTTTCACTTGGTTGTGGTTCCCAGTATATTTTATTATCGTATTGCCTACCCACCACTTCAGCCTATGTAAAGAAGTTACTTTTTTTTTTTTTTTGGTCTTTTTGAGACAGGGTCACACTATGCAGTTCAGGCTGGCCTTGACTTTACTTTGTAGCTCAGGCTGTCCTCAGTCTTGCAGGAATCCTCTTGAAAGAGGTTACTTTTATGGTTTTTTTTTTTTTTTTTTTTTTTGGAAGGGTCTTGCTATGCAGTTCAGGCTGCTCTTGAGCTCTCTTTGTAGCCCAGGCTGGCCTCAAACTCGCAAGGATCCTCTTGCCTCAGCCTCCCGAGTGCTGGGATTATAGGCGTGCACCACCAGGCCTGGCTGGTTATTTTTATTGAAGTGATGTTAGATATATAAATTAACTTAAAGGAGAACTGATATCATTATAATGTTGAATCTTTACGTTTTCCTCTTGTTCAAGTGTATTTGGTGTGTTTCAGGATGTTTTATAGTTTTAAAATATTTCTCAATTAAGTTCATGTGTAGGCATTTTGTTTTCTTGTCTGCTGTCTGAAATGGGGTTTTCTGTTATATTTTCTGAAGGAACTAGAGCCATTCTTTCAACTGCGCGCATGTGGCAGTGTGTTATGTGGAAAAGCATAGGTTTAGGTTATCCCAGACCTGGGTTCAGGTCTGAGGCTTATCAGTTATTGGCCAGCAGGTCCCTGGAAAAGTCACTTCTGCTTCTCAGAGCCTCAGTTGCCTTCTCTTCAAGATAGAAAGAATAAACCCTGGAGGGTGGTAGCCATTCAAAGTGTATATAATGTTTGGCCCTTGATATACATTATCTTCCTTCCTCTTAGCTTCTGTGGTGGGGAGAAGTTGAGTCAGGAGTCTAATTTCTGTCTTTTTTTTTTTTTTTTTTTTGAGACAGGGTCTTGCTATGCAGTTCAAGCTGGCTTTGAACTCACTATGCAGTCCAGGCTGGCCTCAAACTCATGGTGACTCTCCTGGCTCATCCTCCCAAGTGCTGGGATTACAGGTGTGTACCACCATGCCTGGCCAGGAGTCTAATTTCTTTTTTTTGGTACTGGGAATTGAACTCAGGACCTTGCGCTTGCCAGGCAGGCGCTTATGCCGCTGAGCTATTTCCGTGGCCCCAGGAGTCTAATTTCTAACTAGACTTTTTTTATTCAGAGGGAGTATCATTTTCTTCCTACTCATCAGCTACTCTCTGAGACCCTGAAACTCCACAGCATGTGACAACCTCTTTGCTTCCAGCCAGGTCTCCCCAGGAGGCAGGCCCCTTCTCTGTACTCACCAGGCCGCTGTGGCTGGTTTTGGCAGCCACCTTGGGCAGCCTGCCCATACGAGAGAATAGAAGATTGTATTCCTTGCCAGCCCTCTTGAGGCCCAGCTCTGGAACAAAAGCCTGGGAATCTGTCTCAGGGAGGTCCTTCACTGCCAGCTTGCAGGATCTGGTGAAGCCTCCAGTATTTGTTCTCCTTGGAGTTCGATACTTGCTGTTTCCATCTTTGCAGACTTCCGGGAGCCAGCCAGATGGCAATCACCCTCACCTGTTGGTTCTCGGAGGCACTGGGCCAGTCCTGTTTCAGTTTTCTATGAAACCTTTAATTGCCTGTCACTTCTCTCTTCATTTAAAAGCTTGAAATAAACACCGAGATGAATGAGTCATGGTGAGTGGGACTGGGTTGGACGTGGCCTCCTTTGGGCGTGCCTGTTTCTGAGCGCCCAGCCAAGTTGCCTGGAAGTCTCGCTCCGTGCACATCCAGAGGCTGAGTTTTGTCCTGTTTAGCTGTTGACTCATTCTGTAGTTCTGGGCAAGCCCCATTCTCTCCTCTGGGTTTCATTGTCTTCACAGGAATGATGAAGGGCCGAATCTGAAAAGTGTTTTGCTTTCCACAACAGAAGGTTAACCAAGCAGGGGTTTGTTGTTCCTACCTAGCAAGAAATCATAAAGGAAGTGCTAGGGCTAGGGTGAGGGCTCTGAGAAGGAAGCTATTTCTCTTTCTCCATGGCAATCTAATTTTGTCCTTATTGCTGATTGTTTCCTAACTGAAAGAAAGCTGATCTCCCTTTCCTCTCTCTGTCTGTCATAGATCTGGAAGAAGAAGCGAGGGGGCAGTTTTTATCAGGAATGCAAGTGTTTCCCCAGTTTATGTCAGCATTTGTGGCCACTCCTAGTTGCAAGGGAATATAGGGAAACGAATCATTTTAACTGGACTCATTGCCTCTCTGAACAAACATGGGGTTGTATTAATAGGCGTCTTACTTGACTATTGCTGGGAAATGTTTACACAGACATTTACCAGTGTAAGAAAGAAGGAAGAATGAATATAGGGTTGGCAATTAGTATGTTTACCACAGGGGATTTGAGCTGAAGTGTGAGTGCCAAAATCAGCTTAGTAGTTTATGGCCAACATTAAAAAAAATAGAATGTGAAATATCGGGGGCATTGCAAATATATACTGCACGTAAATGTGTCTACACATACACAGGGGGCACAATGAAAAATGCGTGTCATAATCTGGGCGTGGGCACCTCTGGGCCTCAGTGCTTTGATTCTGTGACAGGGTTTGGTGGTGAATGTCCTGCCGACCCCCTTCCATGTGAGGAGCTGTGTGATGGTGATGCATCCTGTCCCCAGGGGCAGAAATGTTGCAGCACTGGCTGTGGCCACACCTGCCGCGGAGATATTAAGGGAGGTAGGTGTCGGCCTCCCCGACCCCCAACAGTAGCTGTACCACTGAGGTATGTCCCCAGTCCTTTTTATTTTTTATTTTGAGATAGGGTTTTGCTAAGTTCTTGCTAAGTTGCCCAGGCTGGCCTTGAACTTATGCTCCTGCTGAGGCAGCCTCCTCAGTAGCTAGGACCACAGGTATGTGCCACTGCCCAGCTGGTATGTTGGCTCTTTTGGGAAGAAATCCTTAAGTGTTGACTGAGTTCTGGAGTCAACTTGGGAGGGGACCACCTGTTTTCGCCTTCTTTTTTCCTTCCTGGGAGGAGCCAGGATTGTCATCTTTCTTGTCTCCCTAACCTTAACCCAGAGTAATCGTTTTAGGCCCAAGGAGCCCGGGTTGGCCTGAAAAGAGCTAGGAGGAAGACAGTGTGCTGTGGTAGGAGTAACCCCTATCAATACTGGCGGCATGGCTTCTGGTCTCGGTTCTGCTTTAGGTTTGTCCTGTGACCTTGGGCAAACAAACATCTCTTTCTGAGCCCTAGTTTCCTCATCTTGCAAATGAGTTGCCAAAGATCACTGGTTTTCAGACTGAATTTTTAGCACAGCACTTCCTTCCATCTCAAATGAAATCTTGATTGGAAGCTAGATATCTGTATTTGATGGCAAATAGATGAAGCTTTCCTGTTTCAATTTCTTTGTTGTTTCAGTTTTTTTTTTTTTTTTTGTACTGGGAATTGAATTCAGGACCTTGAGCTTGCCAGACAGGCACTTGTATCCCTGAGCTACATCCCCAACCCTGTTTCAGTTTTTTAAAAATATATTTTTGAGCACTACTTTTGTGTCAGACTCTATGGAATCACTGGCCCTGATTATAAGTCCCTTTAATATTCCCAGGCAATATTCAAATGTGAGGATGGTCTCTTATCCTCATGCAAAGTATAGTCTTTTGGACAAGACAGATAATTAGTAAGGAATTATAGATGGTCCTTGACTTATGATAGGGCCACTCCTGATAAACACTTCGTTAGTTGAAAATCTTGTAAGTTGAAAGTGCATTTAGTGCAGCCTCCCTACCAAGTAGCCTAGCTTAGCCACACACAGCACACTGTAGAGTATCATTTGTGTGTACTACGGTCATGTGACTGGGAACTGTCTCCTGCTGATGCAGGAGAGTATTGTACCAGATATCACTAGTTTGGGAAAATACCAAAATTCAAAATTGGAAGTACAGGTTTTTTTTTGTCTTTTTGAGACAGGGTATCACTATGCAATTCAGGCTGGCCTTGAGCTCCCTTTGTAGCCCAGGCTGGTCTTGAACTCACAACAATCCTCCTGCCTTAGCCTCCCAAGTGCTGGGATTACAGGCAGAAGTACAGTTTTTATTGGATATGTGTCACATTTGTATCATTGCAAAATTGAAAAATTGAATCATAAGCGAAGGACCACCTATATGCTAAAGTGTGGTGAGAGGAAGCACATATAGGGTATTACAGGAGCACAGAGCAGGGGCACAGGAGAGGAAGTGCCGCTTGGCCTTTGTGTACTTTACTTTGTCCCCCTCAACCTGTACAGCTATCAATCATAGATTACCTTTATAGGGAACTCCCTCCAAGACACCATTTGAAAGCTCTTATTAGCTCAGAGGTCTCTGGATGTCTGTAGATTCTAGATCCTCCAGCTTCCTAGTTTCCCAGATGAATTGGTTAAGATCTAGTTAGGGGTCTGCGTTTGATTCACTTGGAGCCTCCATGTCTAAGCTTTAGATGGGAACTTGGGGACAGTGAAACCAATGTTCTGTCTCTTTACCTGTGCCTTTCTCTCCAACAGGACGAGGTGGTACTTGTCCAGATGTTCTGGTGGGCCTGTGTATTGTTAATTGCATGATGGATGAAAATTGTCAAGCTGGGGAAAAGTGCTGCAAGTCAGGCTGCGGACATTTCTGTGTCCCGCTAGTCCTGCCACCCAAACACACCGTGAACTCCAACTGGACAATCCCGTCTGATTCTGAAATAAGTGAGTACAATCTATTGTTGTCATCAACCAAGTTAATAGACTTAACTGCTCTATGTCAAGACTGGTTTCGATATTGGGCAGGAGACTTTTGAAGGCCAAGAAGTATAATTGGAGAGAAACGTTCTGTGTCTTAGACCAGAACCCTCGTATGGAAAGTATTAGCTTATAGGTGTTGAGTTGGTGTGGTTCCTGGGACAGGTCTTTCTGGGAGAGGAGGGATTTGATCTAGGTCCCTAAAGGTGAGGCAGATGTGACAAAGTGGGACTAGCACAGACAGGCAATGTGATTGTTAGCAAAGGCACAGAGGGAGGGAATGTGTGTCACATGTTTGGACAGTCGGGGGTAGAGGGAGGGTGGGTAAGGGAATATACCTTGACTTCTGAATGACAAGAGTTGTCATTAGGAAGCAGGTAGCCAAAATATGCCAAGACTCTTCTGTGTGGAAGGGCAAACATGTTGGGTAGCCAGAGTCAGGAGACAGTTGTAATTTGATATTTTTTCTACTTGCAGAAACCCCAGTGCCTTAGCTGCCTGATTTGTCCGGAGATCTTTAGTGACTCCAGAGAGCTTGTCGTGGCAGCCCAGCGAGGGTGATGCCTTGGGGCTTGTCACAGTCCCAGCCTTCTCTGCTCTGCTTCTCCCCCTGCTGCAGCCTGGAGCATTGGAACAGCCCTGGTTGGGTAGTAGATGTCAGTGCTTCTCTTCTCCAATAAAGGCTGGTGCTAACCCTTGTGTCTGTGCTGTCTAGTTCTCAGAAGAGATGGGGCCCTGAGGGTCTGAGTGTGGCTATGCAACAGTGAGACCTACATATTGACAGAGGATGGGTGGTCGCTCTTTCTGAGAAGACTGAAAATGGGTGATGGTTGTGTTTGGCTAGGGGTGGGAAGGGTGGAAGCTGGATGTAGACTCAGTAGCCATAAAGGTCTCTCACAAGCCCAGGGGGTCCGAGTAGAGTTCCTCTTTTCAAACTATTGACTTTATTTCTCTTAGTGGAGGATGTGGGTTGGGGATAGAACTGGGGTGGGTGACTAGTTTATTGTAGCTCTTTGAATGTTCCCTCCTTGGGCTTCCTTCCTTGAAGGCCAGCCCATGGCTCCACACATGCAGTTTATCCCCTCCAGTAGCCTTCCCTAGGAGGGGATGTCCCTGTGTTCTTGGGAACAAGGTAATTTTGAAAAATCATCTCTTTCATATGCCAAAAATAGATCATATTCTATAATTTGGAGATCTTTTATGTCCTCATATTATATTCTTTTAAATTTTTTTCCATTTTCCTTTTTTTGCCAATTGGCAAAAATATTATCTCACACCAAGCATGATACAAGATTCACTTCTTTTCTTTATCTTTCTTTGAAGGGGCAGTACTGGGAATTAAATACAGGGCATTGTACTAAGCTATATTCCCAGCCCTTTTTATTTTTTATTTTGAGACAGTGTCTTACTAATTTAATGGACTGGCCTTGAATTCATGATCTTCCTGCCTCAGGCTTCTGTCTAGATGAAATTACAAGTGTGTGCCACTGCACCTGGTCTCAAGATTCAGTTTTATTTATTTATTTTTTAATAGATGACCTTTTTAAATTTTTTTTTTATTTTAAAGAGTAAAAGAAGGATAACATAATAATGGGGGGGGCTTATCAAATTACAGACTAAGTGGTAGGAAATTATCAATGGTTATTGTTTTACATATTGTTATCTACAAGATAGTTTCTCAGGAAAACAAATAGACAAATAATAGTGAGTTACAGACAAAAGAGGTAGGAGATTATCAATAGTTATTGTACTATGGTATCTTCAAAGTGGCTTCTAAAGAAAATAAATAGAGCTATACATGAGTGACCTATTGAATAATCATTAACTTTTCTCAATGGTTGTTGTAGGAAACCCATAATAATAAACATGCATCCATTTACAAAATAGGATAGGAACAATACAAACATTGCAGAGTTATGGATAGATTAGTAGGAAAATATCAATGGCTGCTGTAATACATGGTGGTATCTTCAAAGTGGTTTCTCAGGAAGACAGAGATACGCAAGAAGGATCTAACAAGTAGTTATAGCCTAAGGGTTGTCAAAAATCAAGTGAGCCATCTGGAGTGAAAGCCATTTTTTGTAGGATTTTCTCTCTAGCCTCCCATCGCATTGGGACCCCACAACCAGTTAGTGTCCTCTCCCCAACTGTCAGCACAGGCAGCAGGAATCCTGCTGCAGACTTCTCTGGAGCTCCACTGCAGCCTGTACTGTCAGGGGAAGAATGGCTTCCAGGGAATCTCCGCAGGTATTGCGCAAGGTCCTCCTGGTTTACAGCTTCTGAGCAGCTCTTATGACCCCAGACCACAGGACCTCTGACTCCATGGGCTTAGTTTGCATTCTCATGTTCTCTGAGTCCTTGTTCAGCAGCTGCTTCTCCACTGACTCTGGACCTTTCTGGTTCTCAATGGCAGGAGCAAGAGTGGCCTGTTGTATAGCATGTATTCCCAGGAGTTTCTCCATGTTTGAATAATTAACACACGTCCATGGGGGGACATCTGCAGCCAGTGCATGGTGGGCCAATTGTGTCATTGTTTCTCTGTGTCATGGTAGTTCTCAACTGAGCGGCAGCGGCTGGCCTGAGGGCCAGTGCACAACAGCACTCGCTGCTGCGTGGCTCCCCCTGCGCCGGGGGCTCTCCTTCCAGGGACCTACGAGGCAGGGAGAGAGCCGGTCTTCAGACAGGCTCGCTCCCTGCCCATGGCTCCCTGTGCACCTGGACCCCTCCTTCTGGGCGCATACGAGGCAGGAAGCGACCTGGCCAGAAGACCGGCACTCCCCGCCCGTGGCTCCCCGTGTGCTAGAGGCCCTCCCTCCGGGGGCCTATGAGGCAGGGAGCGAGCTGGTCTGAAGACTGGCGCTCCCCGCCCGTGGCTCCCTGTGTGCCTGGGTCACTCCTTCCAGGTGCCTATAAGGCAGGAAGTGAGCTGGCTGGAAGACCAGCGCTCCCCACCTGTGGCTCCTCGTGCACCTGGGCCCCTCCTTCTGGGCGCCTAGAGGCAGGAAGCGAGGCAGCCGGAAGACTGGCGCTCCCCCCCCCGCCCCCGTGACTCCCTGTGTGCCTGGGCACCTCCTTCTGGGTGCCCAGTTTTATTTTTAAAACGGGTCTCCCTATGTAATTCAGGCAGGTTTTAAACTCTCAGCAGTCCTCCTGTCTCAGCCTCCCAAGTGCTGGGATTATAGGAGTGCACCACCACACCCAGATTTTTTGTTGTTGTTCTTTGAGACAGGGTCTTGCTGCTATGTAGTTCAGGCTGGACTTGAACTCACAGTGTAGCCCAAGCTGGCTATGAACTGCAATTCTGCTTCAGCCTCCCAAGTGCTGAGATTTTAGGTGTTTTCTACCCGTCCTGGGTAAGGTTCAGTTTTTGTTGTTTGTTTTTGGTATGAGTTACAGTCAAACATGTTTCCATGGTACATTTTAACTGTGGCTGGAAACTAGATGTGATTTCTGGTTTTCCTTACCTCCTTACAAATTAAAGTAGGGTGCATTATTTCCAGGATGGTTAATAATATTCAAAATTGATTGAGTTATCACATATATTATTTTAATATAATAAAATAGAACTGTGTGAAGTGGCTAATTTACTTAAATGACCATTTCTTATTGTACATTAATATCCTTGCACATATATATCTTGGGCTATTTTTATAGGAAAATCCAAATAAATTTTTAGTAGAATTCCATTTTTCTTAAATGGATCTCCCTACAAGCTCTCAATAAATATTTGTTGAGTAAACGAATGAAGAAGTGTAAATTTCTAATATGTCAATTAAGAATTCTTTGGATGGGGCTATGAGAAATACATCCAACAGCTGCAAGATGATGCAAAGAAGAACAACATAGGATTGATCAGAGTCAGTGAAAAAGCAGGAATCAGTGCAAATAACATAAAAAAAAACCTGTTCACGGACATCATGGCAGAAAACTTCCCTGGTAGGGAAAAAAATTTGACATCTAAGTGAGGCATATAGAACTTCAACTGGCCATGATAAAAAGACTACACCAAGGTGTATAAAAAGATTTCAGAAATTCAGCACAAGAACAGATATTAATGCTGTTAAAGAAAAGAAAAATGAAAGCCCATCAGAATCACAGCAGACTTCTCAATATAAACCCTTAAGTCCAGGAGAGCTTGGAGTGAAGCATTTTCAAGTTTTGAAAGAAAACATCCTTCAACCCAGATTGATGGACCCACAAAACTATCTTTCAAAGTCAGTGGAAAAATAAGACACTTGCATGACAAAGAACAATTGAAGAAATTCCTGACCATCAAACCAGCTATATAAAATATTCTGAAGGATATTTTAGAAGTAGGTAATGAAGACTACAATTCTAAGAACACCAATAGAAGCCACAAGGTAAGGCAAGAATTAAAAAGAGAGGGAAGAACAGGGAACCAACAAAAGGAAAATAGTATGGGAAAGATAAGCCAATATATATCAGTTATAACCATCAGTATAAATGGTCTCAGTTCACCAATCCAAAGGAATAGATTGGAAGAATGGATCAAGAAGCAAGATCCAACAATTTGTTGCATATAGGAAACACATTTAACTAAAAAAGAAATTCATAGACTGAAAGTCAAAGAGTAGAAAACAATATTCCATGTGACAGGAACCCAGAAAAAAAGCTGTGAAGACAAAGTGAACTTCAAGCCAAGACTGATCAAAAGAGACAAAGAAGATCACTACATACTTGTTAAGGGAAAACTTGAAGAAAAAGAAGAAGGAGAAGAAAAGAAGGAGAAGAAGGAGGGGGAGAAGGAAGAAGAAGAAGAAGGAGGAGGAGGAGGAGGAAAAGAAGAATAGATAACAATCATAAATATACGTGGACAGAAGGAGAAGGAGAAAGAGGAGAAAGAGGAGAAAGAAGAGGAGAAGGAGGAGGAGGAGAAGGAAGAAGAGAAGGAGGAGGAGGAGAAGGGAGAAGAGAAGGAGGAGGAGAAGAAGAAGAGGAAGAGATAATCATAAATATACATGCACCAAATACTGCCACACCCAGTTTTAGAAAACAAATATTAATGGACATGAAAAAATCAGGTAAGCACTAATACAGTTGTAATGGAGTATCTCAATACCCCACTGTCACAAATAGATCAACTAGAAAAAAAAATCAACAAAGAAAGAATGGAACAAAACTTGTGAACAAATAAACTTAGTAGATGTCTACACAGTGTTCCACCCCACATCAGAATACATATTCTTCTCAGCTACACATGGAACATTCTCCAAAATAGATCACGTACTGGCTCATAGAACATGCTTAAAGTAAATGCAAAGGAATTAAAATTATCCCATGCATATTATAAGACCACAGTGCAAGGAAATTGGAAATCAATGGCAAAAGAAACCTCAAAAACTACCAAAACACAGGGAAATTAAATAATACCCTCCCAAACAACCAATGGGTAACAGATGAAATTAAAGAAAACATTAGACAGTTTCTATAATTAAATGGTAATCCCAACACAACATACTGGAACTTACGGGATGCCATGAAAGCAGTCTATGAGGGAAATTTATAGCAGTGAACTCTCACATTAGGAAAACAGAGTGAGCTCAAATAAGTAATCTAAGGTTGAACATCAAACTTCTAGAAAAAGAAGAAATCAAGCCCAAGGCCCCTATGAAGGAGGAAATTATAAAGATAAGAGCAGAAATTAATGCAACTGAGACTAAGAGAACAATACAAAGA